GTAGGTAGAGAGACTTTGTCCCGCCATAGGGCTGCTGCGCCAAATATGTTGATTACAGCTATACATTTCATATGGAACAACCCAATAATAAAGAAATAATAAAAAATGTTTATCCATAAAATTATTGTAATTCCGTAATTGTTTTCTTTACCACTTTAGAAAATTAATATACTAAACTTCTTCCGATGTCTTTCTGTGATTCTGCAGATGTAAAAGGTCTTTGCAAATTGTCTGTGTAGATATTTTCGAACTCTGCAGGTATATATTGTTTCAGTGTTTGCAGATTATTTATTTTAAAGGATTTATTAATACTTTTGGATGAGTAGATCGAAATTGCTTCAACAGTAGGAATGTTTACTCAACGTGTAACTCCAATTAAAGTGTGGTAAAAGGCCTCTCCTGGCTTATTAAAGTAAAAAAAATTAACTAAAAAGAAAAACGCAACATTAGAAAGAAACCTTTATAATTTTTAGTTTACGTTTTTCCTGTAGCATCATTCCTGCAATGTTTTTTTCTCTCTTGATAACTTTTGACCGCGCTTTGTGGACTAAGATAGCTGACATTAATCTATGATATTTTTCACGTTAAACTTTGCTCCACTAATTTTTTCTGCTGCTTGTTCTTCCACTAATTTGGTGGAAGAACAAGCGATCCCATCTTATGAGTTTTGCTTTCTACAAAAGTCATAAAAATGGCCACTTCATGACGATTATGTATTATATATATGTATATATATATACAAATAAATCCACTTTGAACCGTAGGTCCTGGTCTAATATCACTGTACAGCGCTGGTCATAGCGCTGATAACCCTACCCTGTAAGATATTTCCTGTTTTAAAATCTGCCATAAAATCTGCCTGAATGATCGAGTATCAAGCGCTCTGGCGCTCGATGTCATAGATTTTAGGCTCGAGTCCTGGCGGTGCCATGGATGTTTGTAGTGTTTCGGAATCCACTTTAAACCGTAAGTCCCGGTCTCATATGACTGTAGAGCGTCAGGTAGCCCAATCATACTTCTTTTCACCTGCATCACTGTATATTAGCACAGTTCTAGGCACAATGATGCGGTGTGGTGTAGTAGCAGTAGTAATGCCAACACAAACTTTATTATAGTAATGTACTTAATCATTCTAAAAATATGAATTAAAACACCTTAAATCACACATCAATGCTTTTTCATCAAAAACACTCCACAAATTGTGAAATGAGTAATAAATGTAATTTGATAACTACTGTGCATTAACAAGAAAAAAAACTCCACTTTCTAACAGATAGATCAGTTTGCATATGCAAAACGATTTCAATAAATTTTTCAAAAGGTTTCATCTCAAGAAGATGAGAGAATTTCTCCCAGTTTAATGTTGATTTCATTTTCGTTTCATTTTTTTAAGATATAGCTTTTAAAATTTATGAAAAAAATACAGAAAGAAAGACATTCGTTAAAGAAATATTTTTTTTTTCAAGTTTCACTGCAGAAATGCATGATTTTTGTCTACTGTAAAAAATAGATATGTGCGTAAACATAAAAGGAAGGAAAAAGTCCTCTTAAAATATTTCCAAGTTAAGACCTTTTGAAAATTTCCTATTTTTAACTCTGCCGTTCTGAACTACAGAGATTCGTATGTTTCTGTAGTGAATTCTTACTTTTCCCTGGAGGGATTTTATTTTTCCTGTTTCACCTTCAAGTACTCTCTAACGTCTTGGAATTTTAGTTTCGACTCTGCAATTACGATAAAAAAAATGCTTTTTTCGGTGTGTGCTAGAAATATTAAAAGATATAAATATTACTGAAATATTAAAAGATATTTTAGAAAAATAAGCATGTTTTCGTTCTGAAGTGCTTTTAGAAAAGACAAATATTATACTTTTGCTTATCCATTGAGCACACCTATAAAGATATCTGATAGGACTAAATTTGAAGTGTTTATGTCTGAGAAAATATTGCACCACTGGTATTCCACTGGGTTTATGATGTTAATAAAGTGAAGTAAATTTCTAGTTATTCATGACCTGCACATAAAAATCTACTATTCACTATAGAAAATTGTTTTCTTCTATTATGAAATGTGTTGTTTGGGTATTATTACATTTATCCTATGTTTTTCTTAACCTTCTTTTTTGCAGAAATAGCCAGATCCGCATATTGAATACATACACACAAACGAATTTACTAATATACTCACCTATGCACACTGTATATGCATGCACATGCATATGCGCTAATACAAAGCGAAACCACGTGTATGCATTTCCATACATAATTACGACGCCACACACACTCGAACTCAGACAAATATAAGTGCATAGACATACATAAATCTACATACTCACTCCCATGCATACTGCACATACATACGCATACCCATACATGCCTATACATGATCATGCAAATACAAATACACATAAATACACATGTTCCTACACATGCATATACAAACATAGGCACATGCAAATACATACAAGTGCATGTGCGCATTCATGCATCAACATGCACATTTATAAACATACACATACATATATATATATATATATATATATATATATATAAATTCACATACGATCCATGAATGTATTCATTCGCATGTAAAATGCATGTATAGGCTGTTTAGTCTGCATATTTCTGAAAGCAGTGATTGCAACGGACGATGCGAATGAATTTCAACACAAGCCGAAATGTGCCTGTCAAGATTGCAACAGGTCCACAATTCGGATTTGAATATTCAAACATTTTTTTTTAAATTTCAGTTTGATTTTTCATTCTCAGAATTATTCACAGATATTCCCTTTCGAACGAATGTTTCATGTTTTAAAAAATATTCATTCGAAATTTTTCACCTCTAGTATATTTATATGCAGTTATTTTAGCCATTATGAACATTCAGATTTTGCACAATACAATTTTGAAAGGAGGGTTATCTGCGTAACTTAAAGAAAAAAAAATTATTTTATCAGAGTAGCATTTAAAGATTTTTTCCCCATAACATACAATGTTCGGTCATTAAAGTATAGCACGGAGTGATACTTACCTTCATTTGTTTTTTCATTCTTTCGCTATTACAAGAAAACTTCATTACAAAGAGAACCATTTAAAATTTCTGGGAATGATTTGAGATTGGGTAGCTTTAGTCATGGCCAATATATATGAGACAATGCCTAGAGTTGTTGTTCTTCTTCATTAGTGTAACAGCCCTACGGTCGGTCACGGCCATCTCCCTACTCTCAGATAATGTCAAGTGTTTAAATGAAAAAAATTTATACATGACTGCAAATGATGCGGAAAAAAAGGAAAGGTTGTTTACTATCAAGCTCTGTCTCATAAATAATCACAACCTACTAATTTTAAGTATGCAATTTTTGTTAATTGAAATGATTTTAATAAAAATAAATTTAAAAAATTATTTTATTTTGATTCAAACCTTTTCAAGCATACAGTCTGAGTAAAAACTTTAAGGCCAGTAGACATTTTTGAGAAAATGTGAACATTTAAACTGAGGAATTAAAATAACATTTGATTGATAATTATTGAGCTTAAACAAAAGTAAAAAAAGTAGAAAAATTAATTTGCAAATATTTTATTATTAGAAAATATTACAGAACACACAGATGAATATTTGAGCCTGAGTAAAAACTTTAAGGCCAACATAGAAAATAACATACAAGAAAAAAATTACAAATTCTTAGAAGGTTGTGTAGGAGCCATTACTTCGAATTACTTCAAATATTCTTGTTTTCATGGATGAAACGAGTTTTTGACAAAGGGTGGGGTCGGTTTTATACCACTCATCTTCGATAGTAGATTTCAGCTCTGTTGTTGATGTAAAATCTATCCCATTTGCATAAACTCTTCTTGCTAAGTCAGCCCAAAGGTTCTCGAATGGGTTGAGATCAGGTGATCTAGCTGGCCATTTCACAGTTTCAACATTGTCGACTTGGAACCAATTTTTTGTGCTTTTACTCGAATGGATCTATGCATTGTCTTGCTTATATTTCCCATTTTCTCCAGCAAGACATTCAGCATTTGGCAAAAGATGATTTGTTAGGACATTTTGACATCCTTGTGAATTCATTCTACCTGAAAGGAATGCAATTGAGCCCACACCATTGTAAGAAAAACAGCCCCAAGTCATGACAGACCCTCCCCCTAATTGGCGCTTGGAGAATATTTCTTTTTCATTTCTTATATCCTGCCAGTTGAAATTCCAGCCATCTGGTCCATCCAAATTCCATTTTTTTTCGTCAGAAAAAATAATTTCTATCCATTGGTTGTCCCAGGCCATGACTTTCTGGCCAAAGTTCAAACGCTCTATTTTGTGTCTCTACAGTAACTGAGGCTTAGTCAATTTTGTTGTATAAGTGTACCTTCCAGACCTTTTAATTGTGTTATAAATCGTTTTTTGACGAACTTTTAAACCTGTCGTCGGAATCAGTTTCCTGGCTGAGTACTTTCCAGTAGATGCAAGTTGGCAAACTCTTCTTTCATCACGCGTGGACAAAGCTTTAGGTCTTCCCCCAGTATTTTTATTACCATAATTGTCTTTCAATTTTAAAAAATTGTTGACTACAGTCTTTGATCTTCCTATCTTTATCGCAATAGCACGACTACTCATTTCTGTTGAAGGCCAAGCTTCGATCTGTCCTCTTTCACGATCAGTTAACTTCTTACCCTTCGCCATCTCAAGACCGCCATCTTACCTTTCGCCATACTTCGAAGAAACGTACGAAAAATATGAAAATTGCAGCGTTGTCACAAGCTAGTAGTTGCAATGGTAATTACACGATTATGTTATATTTATTTTTAAAAATGACTGGTGGCCTTAAAGTTTTTACTCAGGCAGAAATACAAACTTTGTAAATAACCACATGTTTCTCATAATTATGTATTTACAAATTATGTTTATAGCATTTCTTTCTTATCAATGAACATTAATAATTAATATTATTTGAATCCCTTTTATTTCATATTACATTTTCTCAAAAATTTTTACTGGCCTTAAAGTTACCGTCCTGCTGTCTAGAGCAACCAACACCTTTCATGGGGTCTCATGAGCGTCTCGCATCGGACGCCTTAACCCGGCGTTTGGTTCATCCCACAGCGCCAGTTCTGCTTACCAAAAGTGGCCCACTGGGCACTCTCATCCAATCGTCCGGCCTTCAGTCATGCAAGGCGGACTTCTCACCCATTTAAAGTTTGAGAATAGGTTGAGGTCGTTTCGGCCCCAAGCTATCCTGAGGGAAACTTCGGAGGGAACCAGCTACTAGATGGTTCGATTAGTCTTTCGCCCCTATACCCGGATCTGACGATCGATTTGCACGTCAGAACCGCTGCGGACCTCCACCAGAGTTTCCTCTGGCCTCGTCCTGCCCGGGCATAGTTCACCATCTTTCGGGTCCCAACGTGTATGCTCAGACTCCGCCCAACCGATAAATCGGACAGGACGGGTCGTTGGTGCGCCTCCCCCGCGAAGGAGGGAAGATCCCAACACAGTCGACGTCGAGGCCGACCTTTGCTTTCATTGCGCCTCTGGGCTTATTCGAGACCCATTGACTCGCACACATGTTAGACTCCTTGGTCCGTGTTTCAAGACGGGTCGGGTGGGTGACCGATCTACTCGCCGCTAACCGCCAGCACTCCGACGGGTCAAGAGCAACCAACAAAGCCCTCCGACCGCGACCACGAGGCGAGCCCGTGCGTCCGCAGTGCGAAGGAATCTTCTGCCACTCAATGCCCGGCGTCCGCGAACGGAGGAGGCGTAGAAGCCCGCGAGGGGCTTCGCGACACCACGGTCGGGTCACGAGCCATGCGACGGGACGGCTAACAACCGGCAGACAGCACGAGGCTGAACACCGGCCACCTGCCATTACCCGACCTTAAGGCCGTTCCCCAACCGGTTGCGGCGTCCTTCGGACGGGAAACAAATGCGTCGGACGACGAGAAAGCGTGAAGCCGGAGCGGTCACTGAAGTGAACCATTCTGGTCTCTCCGGCCTCACGTCCCCGTCACTCGACTGAATCCTCCCGCCACAGGATTTCGAGGGCCCACCCGTTTGCCTCTGAGCAGTTTCACGTACTCTTGAACTCTCTCTTCAAAGTTCTTTGCAACTTTCCCTCACGGTACTTGTTTGCTATCGGTCTCACGGTGGTATTTAGCCTTAGGTGGAGTTTACCACCGATTAGGGCTGCACTCCCAAGCAACCCGACTCCAAGGAGATCGCATCCGGAAGAGACAAAGCAACTATGGGCCTCGCACCCACTCTGGGTAACAGCCCCGGTCAGGGGGACTTGCTGCTATATCTACTTCCAGCACGCTCACTCCTAAACGCCACATTTCCCAGCCCCCTCTCGAAGGCGGGATTTGGCGCTGGGCTCTTCCCTTTTCGCTCGCCGTTACTCAGGGAATCCCTGTTGGTTTCTTTTCCTCCGCTTATTTATATGCTTAAATTCAGCGGGTCATCTCGTCTGATCTGAGGTCGACAAGTTTATTTTAAAATAGGTCTTTTTTCGTCATTTCTGACAAAGAAAAGCAGTACTCACCCCATTTAATGGTTTCTTAAGCATCAAGCCTATATCTCGTCCTCGAGGAGAAACTCTATTATATTATATGTTCGGCTTCTCCAACCGACGAGCATGCATCAAGGCGACGCTCCTTCGACCGGGGAGGATCCTGATTGCCCTTGAACCGGCGGAAACTACTAAGAGTCTCCGGTGCGGTCAATTGGAAAGTGGGAAAAAAAACCCATTTCCTATGCAAGTCTTATCCGACCCTCAGACAGGCGAGGCCCCGGGAGAGACCCGAGGCCGCAATGTGCGTTCGAAAAATCAGTGCTCAATGTGTCCTGCAATTCACACCAAATCTCGCAGCTGGCTGCGTTCTTCATCGACCCGTGAGCCGAGTGATCCACTGCTCAGAGTTGTTTTTTTTTATTTATTTTTATGACCAATCCTTTCGGAAAGGCCGTAAGTGCGTTCGAGAATGAATTCATGACACTTCTCTCCTAAGAGAGAAGGAACGCCACGGGGCGGTGTACCTTTGGGTACATCTCTTCAAGCCTAGCCCTCGCCTCAGACGAGAACCTCCCTCTTGCCCAAGTCACGGGCCGGGACCTTTATTTTAGGCACACCCATAAGTTGGCGTCTTTTTAGTATTCGAACAAGCGTGTTTCGCCTAAGCCGTCAGGGCAAAAGGCCAACACAATGAGTGGGAACACTTTTTTAAATAAAAAAGCGAACCCGTGATTTTTTATCATTTTTATTTTCATATTCATGAAAACAAACGATAATGATCCTTTCGCAGGTTCACCTACGAAAACCTTGTTACGACTTTTACTTCCTCTAAATGATCAAGTTTGGTCATCTTTCCGGCACTTCGGCTCGACCACGAAGGCCAATCCGAGCGCCAGTCCGAAGACCTCACTAAATCATTCAATCGGTAGTAGCGACGGGCGGTGTGGACAAAGGGCAGGGACGTAATCAACACGAGCTTATGACTCGCGCTTACTGGGAATTCCTCGTTCAAGGGGAACAATTACAAGCCCCTATCCCAAGCACGAAGGAGGTTCAACGGGTTACCCAGTCCTGTCGGACAGGGAGAGAACACGCTGATTCCTTCAATGTAGCGCGCGTGCGGCCCCGGACATCTAAGGGCATCCCAGACCTGTTATTGCTCTGTCTCGTGCGGCTAAACGCCGCCTGTCCCTCTAAGAAGAACGTCCGACGCAAGAGGATCGGGACGTCTATTTAGTAGGCTAGAGTCTCGTTCGTTATCGGAATTAACCAGACAAGTCGCCCCACCAACTAAGAACGGCCATGCACCACCACCCACAGAATCAAGAAAGAGCTCTTAATCTGTCAATCCTTCCTGTGTCCGGGCCGGGTAAGTTTTCCCGTGTTGAGTCAAATTAAGCCGCAGGCTCCATTTCTGGTGGTGCCCTTCCGTCAATTCCTTTAAGTTTCAGCTTTGCAACCATACTTCCCCCGGAACCCACAAGCTTTGGTTTCCCGGAAGCTGCCCGGCGTGTCATTTGAGGAACACAGCCGGATCGCTGGCTGGCATCGTTTATGGTTAGAACTAGGGCGGTATCTGATCGCCTTCGAACCTCTAACTTTCGTTCTTGATTAATGGAAACATTCTTGGCAAATGCTTTCGCAGTAGTTCGTCTTGCGACGGTCCAAATTTCACCTCTAGCGTCGCAATACGAATGCCCCCGTCTGTCCCTCTTAATCATTACCTCGTGTTCCGAAAACCAACAAAATAGAACCGAGGTCCTATTCCATTATTCCATGCACCATTATTCAGGCGTCGCGCCTGCTTTGAGCACTCTAATTTTTTCAAAGTAAACTTGCCGGTCACCCGAGACAACCGGTGAAGATCATCAGGGGAAACCGGCGATAACGCCGAGCACAGACAGTGACCACCGGTAGGCGGACCGCCCGGCTCGAGCTGAGATCCAACTACGAGCTTTTTAACCGCAACAACTTTAATATACGCTATTGGAGCTGGAATTACCGCGGCTGCTGGCACCAGACTTGCCCTCCAATGGATCCTCGTTAAAGGATTTAAAGTGTACTCATTCCAATTACGGGGTCTCAAAAGAGTCCCGTATTGTTATTTTTCGTCACTACCTCCCCGTTCCGGGAGTGGGTAATTTGCGCGCCTGCTGCCTTCCTTGGATGTGGTAGCCGTTTCTCAGGCTCCCTCTCCGGAATCGAACCCTGATTCCCCGTCACCCGTTACGACCATGGTAGGCGCATAACCTACCATCGACAGTTGATAAGGCAGACACTTGAAAGATACGTCGCCGGGACGAGCCCGTGCGATCAGCCCAAAGTTATACAGAGTCACCACGGTAAACGGACCCGGAGGCCCGATTGGTTTTGGTCTAATAAAAGCGCTCGTTCCCGAAGGTCGGAGCTCTGCTGCATGTATTAGCTCTAGAATTGCCACAGTTATCCAAGTAGTGAGGTACGATCCAAGGAACCATAACTGATTTAATGAGCCATTCGCGGTTTCGCCTTAACACGGCATGGACTTAGACATGCATGGCTTAATCTTTGAGACAAGCATATGACTACTGGCAGGATCAACCAGGTAACTTCCTCGTTCTTACGAACGTTCGAAGAAGTGCTTCATATTTGGCACCTTTTCGAATCCGAGAGGCGTGTCGCGACCTGAGGATCGCGGGGGACAACCACGACGACGGTGGGTCCCTCTGTTTACACAACGCTTCGAATCGTGATTCGACAGGGCTTTCTCTAGACGGTTCTGCACTCACGACATCCCCAACGGCGTCGACGCTTGCTGAATTTCTGTTTATGGATGACAACGCCCGTCCTCACCGTGCAAACATTTTACGAGGATCAATTAAATATTTAAAATTTTTGTCGTTAAGTGTAGCATAAATATTTTAAAAAACATTTATTAATGTATTAAATTAAAAAATACTAAATTCTAATAAGATTTGTTTTATGAAAACCGTCCCTGTCTATTGCAAATCAGAAAAAGTGTTTATTATTATTATTTTTTTTTGCTTTTAAATTGAAATGTTTTTTATGATATTATGGAATTTTAAATACGTATACCTACGCCGAAATTAGTGCAATGACTATAAATAAAGAATAAAGGAAATATTGCTTCCTTCGATAAGTGTTGAAATAATTAATGATTATGTTATTTTACAGAAATATGAGTTAAGTGAGGGTAATTATCATGTTACTCAAATTTTTGTTGTCAAATTTTTTATCAACCGCTTTTCCCTAAAATATATTAGTGGTTTTGCATAGATAAATTTGGGACATTTGAAAACTTTTATTGTTGTTATATACTATTAAAACTTTTAGTATTACTTATCAATAAACATATATATATAAATATATTAGCTAATGAACAGGCTATTTGGCTACCTGGTTATTCTTTACTATGAATAAAATTCGAAAATTTGAAATCTTTTATTGTTTTTCACTAAACATAACAATTTTATGTTTCTTATATAGTGTTGCAAATAGTTTCTGAAAATATTCTCTAAATTTAATGTTATAGAAAACCATCTGCATATCTTAGAGCATAGAGCTAAAACTTTATTAAAAACAATAGCGACAAACTATATTTTTTCTTCAAAATTGTATAATAAATTAGCATTTTTCCAAAATAATGCATTCACAAACACTTCGTTATTGAAAGTTTCCAACATTTTCTTCCAACATATTAATTGCAATATATTAATGTATTGCAATTAATATGTTGTGTTCAATATATTAATTGTAATATATTAATCAGACATTTGTAAAAATTGAAAAAGTTGAACAACATTAATGAAAAACATTAAAATTAACTATCAGAGCGCTTATTCAACAAAAATATACAATACTGTTAAGCCACATTAAATTTTATTTCTCTGAATTCTTATATTATACTAGCAGACCCGGCCACGCTTTGCTGTGGCTTTCTTGTATTTTGTTCAATTATTAGATACTATAATTGGTATTGTTAAGGAAGTGATTGGTAAAGAGTGATGAAAAGTTAAAATTAAGTTTCAACTACTAGAAAATGTTTAATTTTTATTAATTTAATGAATGAGGTAGATAATGTTGATTTTTAATGCTGTTTTATAATTATTGTACCTAATTTAATTTTTAATAATCATTACTTTCGTTTATCTAAGAACTAAGCGATGAACACTATTTCTTATTAATCTGTCTTTCGTCAAAATAAATAAATTCGTTAAATAATTTAATAAGTTGGCTATGCTTTTCTAAAAGATTTTCCAACAATTCTACAATAGCTCTTTGTACTTGCTTGTTCGGTAAAGTTATACTGACATAGAGTTGTCACACGTTCTTCAGAACTGCCCATAAAATAAATTTGAAGAAATTTTGGCTCTTCGTTAGGTATTGGCATCAACGATCCGATCTTGTGGTACACCTGACCTTGTATTTTGAATGTACTTTCAAAATTACGTCCATCGGATGAGAAATCGCAAATTTTAGTTGCGCCAAATGACGTCAATGGCGCCAAATGACGAAATATGAAAATCGTCGATTTTGCATTTAAATAAAAAAAATCTGTATAATAACTATCCTATCTCTCAAGTTGGAACAAAACACATATTTAAGAAAAAAAAAAGTTAAAATCGGATTGTTAGTTTTAGAGTTCATCCCGAACAAACACGGTGACACGGGAATTATATATAATAGAGGGGAAAAGTTCATTGTATTATTAGATAAAAGAGCAAAAAAAGTAACTGAAATCAGACATGAATGAAAAATATTAATATCAATAAGTATATATGTCATCTAATATGTAATTTATGTTGAAAAAAGAAAAAAAAAGTTATTTGCAAAATAAATAAATCTTATATCATCGTTAATGAATCTGAAATATGATTATTTTAAAATACCACATAAAAAACATTTATTTACAATTTTTCGTTTTAAACTCTTCGAAATATTGCAAAATATATTGCATTATGAAAAAATTCGAAAATAACATCAATTGTGAATAATTAAATATGATAAAACATCAGTTCTCTTGGCTAAAAAAAATTAATATTCAATGAAGAAAAGTAAAAAATTTAAATATTATAATTGATATAAAACAACTTTAAATAAAATAACATTGTTTCTAATTTTAATACTATGCCAATACTTAAACTTACATTATTGCTTTTGTATTGTGTTTACTATTAAAAATAATTGTTTGTTAATTTCTATAAAATAAATGTTAGAAATCAGTTTTAAAATTTATATTTTGAATATAAGAATATATATATAGCATTATATTTTGAAACTACCAATTTCTAACTAAAATGAATAATTGCTGGCAAATATTGTTTATCTAACCAAATAAATGTACAATATAAATCAAGGAAAATAATAAATAGCAAATCCAAAACTTTTCCCTCTAATTTTTGTTTGAAAAAATA